TTTCAAGTAACATTGTCGTATTGAATAGCTTCTGGGAATATGCATAAATATTAAAAAAAAATAATAATAATAGATGTCAGTTAAAATGTTTAAGGACCGTTTAAATAATCTTTAAGCTTTTCTTTGAATGTGTAATTCGATGGAAATGATAGCAACTCTCACCAATTTACTTAAGAACATTTCCTCAGGATAATTTTAGAGTAGAGATTTGTAATACCTTGATTTAAAAACATTTCTATGAATTTTGTTTTGTAAAATTTTTCCATTGTAACCTTTCAACAATTCATCACTCCAAAAAAAAAAAACTGTCACAAATGAAATAACCTTTTCTCTCAAACTCACAAAAGAGTTTACACAACATGATGATTTATTGAAATAATGTTGGATTAAATAATATTATAATCTAATTTATCAATTTGATAACATTTTCAGTGCATATGTAATATGCTAGGAGTGTGATGAAAAAAATATTTTTCATTATCTGACAGACATTTAAGAAAATTAATTGTATTAATAAATCATTCGATAATATAGTTTTAAAAATGATTGACGGTGCAATTTAAAAGAAAAGAAAGACTATCAATTCAGTGATGATGAATTGACAGGTGACAGGAGAAAAATTAGTCATTTTCTAACAAGTTATGTCTTGGGCTGCTGTTGGATATCTACATGTGTATGGCTACAGTGTTCAAAGTGTTATCGTAGTATTATATTATAGTAATATAATATAGTCAATAAAAAGATGAGTAAAGACAGGAATGAAGAACACACATGGCGGCGAGCAGTCTAGCAGCTCTCGATGCATTTACATTATTATACTACCACCATACCTACACCACACCTTATGCATATTCAGTGTGAATATACCCAGCAATTCTTGACTGTGCTGGAGTTTCTGTATACATGCGAAAAAAACTAAGATATCAAGTTTGTATGAAGCTCAACAAACTCGTTAGGATCAATTGATGGGTCAGAAAATCATGTGGTTTTTAAACTTTTCTGCAAGATTTACTTTGTCTGGCATTTTTTTTATCAATTAAATCTTGCAAATAATTTTTTTTGGAGCTTTTTAATGCTATTGAGCTAAAAGTTTGTACATATGAACATCTTCATATGTGTTTATTTAGGTGGCAAGCTGATATATACCACTCAATGATATTATTGAAAAAAATATCTCAACCTTCTAGTCTTTTTTCTTTCACATGTCATTCAATTTATTGATTTGAATAAATATATGAATATTTTTTTAATGTTTTTCTACTATTTTCTAAGGTTGTATTTATTTTTTAAATATTTTCGAAAATAATCTTCAACAAGAATCTTCATTAGCTTTCTCTTGTTACCAAGTGATTTATTTAGGGATGTTTTGAGATTTTACCTGAAATCTACGATGTTTCGATTGGGAGTCATTTACCTAGATTTTAGTATAACTTGGCCTTCTTTCTATTAGTGAAGGTGCACATTGCTATCATAAAAATAATGTAATATAACTTGAACTTTAAAACAATTTTTTTATGAAACTGACAATAAATATTAGAAGAATCTATTTTATGATTTTCTTTGTTTTCGATCAGTCTGTAAATCATCGAACAAGTAAACATAGTTTGACTTGGTGTTATGTTAAATTTTATTTATGTCTTATTATGTTATTATATTGTATACCTAATATATACTTAACTTCCCGTTCAACTTTCTCACGAGATTCATCGCACAAGCGGGTGATTAAGGGGACATGTGAGTACGCATTGCGAGTACAGATATTATTAATCTCCAATCGGTTCACTTGATCAAAAGAAAGTTGCAAATCTGTATATCGAATCATTCTAACTTGTATTGGGCGTGCACTACACAACTTCTATTATGGTGATCATGATTGAAAAAATATTTTTTTCTTCATTGAATACATATATAAATTATCAACATTCTCGTCCTTTATCGTCAGCAATAGTAGCTGTTATAAACGTTTATAGTCTTGCTGATATTATTGCATGATAATCTATTCGTGAATGATATCAGAGAATGTAATTTCAACTTAAACGTTTCAACTTCACAATGCTCCATTAAATGAATATATACATATTTTTCTTTCGTGCTTTTAGAAAATTTTATATAACTTTCCCAATTTATAATATTCACTTTTCAACATTAGATAAATCAATGAAATAAAGAATAAAATTGATTTAAAAATTAATAAAAAAAAATAGTAGCAGAATGTAATTTAGTTAATTACCATTTAATAATTATCTTACAAGATAAAATGGTTAGATAATAACATTTTCGTAATTAAAATAAGTAAGAAAATAATAAAATATTATTATGCATAGATACTTAGATAACCTAGAAGAGCAATAAAAAAAATAGTTTCCCTTCACATGACGAAACTTTTATGTAAAGGTAATTCAGGTTGAAATTTATCAAAGTCAAGGAAACCAAATGTTAATCATAAGAGAGATTGATTGCAAAACCGTATTAAATTATCAAGTGTTTGAAAATTTTTAATCTTTCTTATAATAAATTTATCCGTTTATACATATATACATACCCTTTGAAGAGAAATTTCTATAACATTTCGCATGCGACTCTGTGAAGAAAGTTAAGATTAACTATAGAAAAAAATAAATTGTTTGACAATGATTACCAGCGTCATTATCATCAACACTCAGTGTGTTCCCCTTTTCCTGCTCTGTCGCACAATTCAAATGAAAGTTATCATAGAATGGTGGTGGCACGAGAATATATCACAAGAGCTACGAGCGTGTCGAATCACTGACCCTTTGCACTCAGTAGCACATGTCCGTCTAGCAAAAGGGAATTTCATTTACGTCCTGAGTATATTGTAGCTTTCACTTCACACACAACATTCATATAAGCTACAAGTTAGATAAATAAATACCAAAAATATGTTATGTAGTTAAATGTAGTTTCGAGCTGTTGAAAAGATAATAGGAGAGATACAGTTAAAGTAATCTTTGAAACATCACTCTACTTTTGACATGTTTGACTCCTTCCTCTTCTTTTCGTTAATTAATGGATCAATACACTTTGATATTTTTTGTTGTAAATTATCCGTTATTTTGAACTTTATTTTAATACTGTTTTTCCATGAGTATATTACAGAATGATTAAAAAATGTTTCATTTTTTTCACCATGACAATGATGATTTGACAAAATTACTCAAACAATCACCTTTTATTTTTCTCACAACGGGGGGTTATTTTTTTATCCTGCATACAACTAATGCTATGTCACGCCTTTATAATGTAATTTATCCATCCATCGTCTGTATAATATAGCGTTTTCTGTTTACATCAATCGACATTATCAAACTTATAGATCAAAAGTTTGAACTTCATGAAATTAATTATTCAAAACGGACAATTCTTGTAATTATCCATCGTAGTGCAATGAAATAAAAAGCATAGTCTTGTAATTCATTCTTCATTGTACATGTCATGTACTTTCCATTTCATTTTATACAACTTTGATTGTATTTGGATAAAAATATATACAAGTTTGTCACTGGAAGAATGAAAAAGAGATTCTCGTTTCAATAAATATATTTTTTTTATATTTTCACACACTAGAACTCTCTTTATCACTGATATCTGTCTACGCGTGAGTGCACATTCATGAAAACAAACTTATAAATATCAATATAAATATTTCTGATTATTATTATAAATGAATTCATGAGAGTCGATGTCATTTAATCTTATTCAAGTTTTACTTTCTGGATAACTTAATTAACAGAGCATAGAATAATATTGCCATTTTATCAATGATCCTAGTTGTGTACTAATCTTTATACAAAAAAAAATCTATTTATTCTAATGTGCTTTATTATCAATTTTCTACTAAACTTTCTCACGATTGACAAATAATCATTATTAAATATTTTTTAAATCAATTTTATGATAATCAAATATTATTTTTGTGACATTTATTGTTTATCATATCATCAATAATAATTATTATCCTCTTTATGATAATAATTTAATTTTTTTAACATTATAAAATATTATTCTGTCTCTTGGTTTTATATATAAATGAATTTGATTATTAACATTTGTCATGAATTTAACGGAAGTAAAACCAACAGACACTATTACTGGAAGTTTAAGTTTACTGTAGTAAATTGGACGCTCACATAAATACTGCGGTCGTTGGCTTTTCACATTTATTTTTGTACAATTATTACTTGCATACTACTTTATGTGCTTTTAACAATTCTCTTTTGTGAAGAAAAATATCATTTATGTCCTCAATATTCATCTTCATTTTATTTGTAAATAAATTGAAGAATTAACGTTATGTTTATGGCATGAATGAGTTTGCAGAAATTAACAAAATATTTTTTTGATGGAGTAAATAATTTATTGTAATTACTTGAGACATCTACGAATCAAGTTTAGTCGAAATTATACACAGGACATTTTGAATTTTTGGTTTCTCTTTTTATTTATTTCCAGGATGTAAATGAGCTAACTGAACAGACAAACATTTAGATTTACAACTTTCTAGAAAATAATTTTTTATTCTAGAAATTTTTAAATTCAACGTTTCACCAAAATCCGTTATATTTAATTTTTTTTTTTCGTCATACCAAAACCGATACTTTTCTTATCGCTCAAATGATAAGTAAAAGGTTACAGTTGTGTGGTTTCCTGTGTTCATGTCTGACGGAAGCATTATTTACTTCTCTTGACTTGTAATGATAAAAAGAAAAGTCTTATCTTTTTTTAAAATCCAGATTCTTAATCATACACCATCCGCACACCATTTCAACTTCTTTGTGTTTATAATTGCTCAACTATTAAATACAGGATAATTTATTAAATAGCTTTTTCTTCATCATTGTTTTGTTTGTGTTAAAAAAAAATTTCATCATAGAATGATGATTGTCATATTTTTAGTTGTGATTGTTAATTGTTATTCTTTTCTAACTGAATATAATAAATGAAGTTTAATTCAGTAAAGTGTCATGATAAGATCTGTCAATAAAATTCGATTAGATTAAACAGCGAGAAATTATTGGAGCTTTATAACTGTTATCAACAGAAAGTCAAAACCAGTCTTCAAAATGACTTGTAAGTCAATCTATAGTTTTGTTTACTTTGTAACACTTTTAGTTTTGACAGAATGTCTACCCCAATCAGTGTGGGATGTATCTAATAGCTTACCTGATGAATACATGAATTTAATTTCTAATTCTGAGTCGTCGAAAGTTTATGGAAAAGAAATTAAAGATTGGCATCCAAAAAAAAGGAATAAAAAAACTTTATTTCCCATTACAAATCGACGGTGTAATAAATATTCACTTGAAAACATTTCGGAGTTTTGTCATATTATTTTTAAACTTGAGGAACTTAACAATTTATTACCCACGTTACAGTATTTTGTAGTAAAAGAAAGTAAGTTTTCACTTAATGGCTTTTTTTTAAGGAAAATAATTATAACCTTTTCCTTGGTGATGATAAAATAAATTGTATTTTTAGATTCACGTGTGAAGATAGCTTTTAATGGACCCGATAAAATGAATCAAAAAATTTCATTAGATTCATCTGAAATGTGTAATAAGAAATCTAAAGAGTCATTAACGATAGCATGCAGGTTTTTGAATAAATTAAATGAACTAAAAGAGCTTTTAGAAAAATACCATCCTATGTTTCTGAAAAAAATGGTTCAAATAATACCGTTTGATTTAAAGTTGAAAAACCCGGTATTAAAATATAGTGCTTCAATAGAGAATGAAAAAATATTTCAGAATTCCACCAGGAATAAAATTAAACCCAAACCTGGCATTCATAAAAGAAGACCTGATATCCAAACAAAGGAAATGTATCGACAATCAAAAATAGTGTAACAAAGTCAACTAGAAAGATTTCAGTAAAAAGTAATTCACGTCATTGAAAATTTTTTAAAATCAAAAGCATTTGCAAAAAATTTGCTTCTGCAATATATAATCAATCGTCTATAAAACTTTAATTGAGAATTGCACATGACAAGGCAATTACAGAGCTGTCATAAATAAAATGGTTCTTTCTAATAGCATATTGAAATATAAAACTTCTAGAATACTTTAGTTGAGTCTATGTTAAATCGAAATAATGGAGTTAAGTAAAGAGAAACTTTTAAGATTTTTGTTTCTCTTCTGGACACTAGAACATAATACAATTGCAATACGTGATAGATATCAACATCATTCAGTTTATACTAATGGATCCAATCCTAATCGTTATCATTCGACAGAAAGTCATTGGAAACACATGGGTGATTTTTACATTTTTATCAACTAGATATTTTTTGGAAATCTATTTTAACAATAGTCAATAGTTTCAGCTTCAATGTCGAATAATTTCAAGATGCGAGACACGAAAAATGTTATAGTTAAGCGACATTATGCTGTAAATTTTAGAATATTTCGTGAATTTATGCACAGGAAAGCTAATCATTTACAAAAAATCAAGACGATAAACAATAATTTCCATAATTATACTAACAACAACTACAATACAAGGTAACTCAGTGTAATATGCTTAACTTGATGAGAATATTACATTAGAAGCAGTTATTTTTTAGCTTCATCGAAAATAGAAGATTCGAGTGTGCCTACACAGATGAAGACCATTGTGCATTGAAACTTCGTTACATTGTACAACAGAGATGTGTACTATTTATACAAATAAAACTTGCACTTGGACTACTTTTTGATCGATCAACTTTGCTTAGTCAATACAGAGGTCATGCATCAACTATTAAAGATTTAGAAGAGTTGCTTAACATAGTGATAGATCATATGAGAGATGTCAATTTGCAGCTTGAAAATGCCCTAGCTGGTTCTGATTTACCAAATTTAGAATTGATGGATTATTTTCTTTCATTTCCTACTTTATCACCTCCAAAAATTACAACAACAACAGCGTTATCGACAACGACCACTACATCAACGACTACTACAACTACCACCACCACCACCACAACTACCACTACTACAACAACTACGACTACCACCACCACAACAACTACTACCACCACTACAACAACAACTACTACTACTACTACTACTACAACGACTACTACTACAACAACGACCACTACGACTACTACAACGACGACGACAACAACAACTACTACTACAACAACAACAACCACTACACCTCCTCCACCTACAACAGAGTTGATAACAACTACTGAAATGACGAGCACAGTTGATGACTGGGCTGAAGGTTGGCCAGTACCAGAACTTATTTTTCCATTCCCATTTACTCATCCTTCAACAACTACAACAACTCCACCACCATTAATACAAATGACTACAGCTCTTAGAACAACGACAGAAGAAACAACTGTGCCATTAGATAATTTTGGAGCACCTGTACTTGGGTGGAACCAAAGAGAACTTCATACTTTATATCCCTTCTGAAAAGTAGATAATTAATACTTGGAAAAATAATTGATTAATTTGATATATTTAAAATAATGTAAAGATGATAATTTTTGTAACAATTTTTCTTATGATATAATTTATTAGAATTTATTTAATATATGTTTGTGTATCGTTTGTAAGATTGTTATTCAATGCCAAGTACAAGGTATAAAAAACGAATATCATAAGTAAGCCTCGACTTGACATGTCATTTTCTATTCTTTGAGAGCATCCTCCCACGCATTAATCGAGTAAATCTTGAGATAATTTTATGATAATGCCAGTAAGTGCGTGGGTACGTCTTGTCTTTGTGGTACCAATTGTATACGTTCATTCATCTGTCGTAATCCTGCAGTTTCCATAGTACCATCGTCCACATCTTTCCTCTTTATCTTCTTATTCTTTCTCATTGTTGGGGAGTGTTATAAAAAAATCATTAAAAGTGAGGGGAGTAAAAAAGAGTAGAAAAACTTATTAGATGACTAATACATATATACATATCACACACAGAGCACAGTGGACATGGGTCAATGACCCGTACTTAATTTTCCCTTTATCTTTTGACCTGATCAACCTTAAGCAGAGGGCGACAGTGGATAGTATTTATGGTGCATATACTGAAGGTTCTTATCAGCAAGTACATAAGGTTTTTTACAAGCAGTAGAAAATACGTCTATGTATTTAGGTAATGTTTCAGTTGTAGAATGTCCTAGATGTACTTGTATTTTTAGTTTAATTCATATATTGTGTATAAAAATTTCTGCAAAATTGAATTTAGTTCCAAACAATACTTCTCGATGATTAATCATCATGAATAACCTACAAAACTGTGTGCTAATAAATTATTCACATCTTCAAAATGCTTTAAAAAATGATAAAAATTTATTCAACAATTTTACTTAAGCAGTATGAGTGAATTCAAATTGTTCTTTTTTTTGTTTCCAGGTTCTACAAAAAGACATCGAAGCACACGGTAGAATAGTGAATTCCATCGTAAAATTGAGCGAAAGAGTAGCAAAGCAACACAAGTTATCATCATTATCATCATCAAATCAAGAGGATCAATCAATTCGTCAGGTTCAAGCAATTCGAGTAGCTCGAACCTTAGAACGCCGTTGGCATCTTCTCTTTTTGCGTGCTCTAGAATGGCAATGTCATATCGAGACTTTAGCTACACGGATTCGTAATAAGGTAAATTTATTTTACAATCTTTTTTTGTGTTATTATAACATTGTAAGTAATCACATCGAATTAAAGTGTTGAATCATAAAGAGCCTGGTACGGTTATGATACTGTTTCTTAACTTGCCGCAAGATAAACGGTTCTACCCTTGCTTATGTATACCCATTAATACGAATATAGTAAGTAATACATAAGAACAACAGAGAGTATAGTAAAAAATATAGACATTTTAACTACAAGTCATGCACTCATCATTTCGCCTTTCAACACGATTCTCTTAAGAGTTGGGGCTCGTTAAAATAATCCTTTTGAGTTTCAGAATCACATGCTATGTACTATAATTCATAAATCATTCAAGGCGGAAATGGAGCGTAACAGATAGAAACAGCCTTCTATACAGCTTCAGTCTTTTTTCTCATCATCAATCGACTTGACTCCTCTTATAAAATGAAATTACTTTAATTTTTCGTAAACCTTTATTTTACCAATTGCAGAAAATCTTTATTCACATGGAGTACATCAAATATTCATTTATTCAAATCAAAGTGCATCATTATGTCATTAGATGATGCAATTTCTCCAAGACCTATTGCTGGATCAAACTGTATTTATTTACAGATTAACTGGCAATCTCAATGAATTAGTGTTGATTGTCTTATTGGCATATATTATACTGATAGATCGTTGACTCGAATCCTAATTTCCAATAGCCAAGATCACGCAAAGCTTCATGCCATCCATTGAAATCGAGTTTGCGTGCTTTGGATAAATTATAATATAATTATTCTATGTCGTTATTTAATGATAAAGCAATTAAATATCATACAGATGCATTCATATTTTTTTGTTTGTCTTTAAAAATTTGCTTTCATCTGCATTTTTATTTTCGTGTGCCTCGTGCATCAATGTTATTATTTAGTTCATAGAAATGACTGAAACAAATTAGTTCAAGTCGTTGCTCTACAAATGTTAAAAAGTGTTTAAAAATTGTTTTTAAACTGTCATTAGAAAGAATGATTTTAATTGACAAGTTTTAATGGTTTTCCAGTTAATTTATTCGCATTGTTTTGTAATAGCTATAAATATTTGTTAGCTTATTATGTCACAACAATGTTCTCACCCTTTATTTTTATAACAAAAAAATGTCCAATCATCAGAATAAATTTTATATAACGTAACTACATAATGTATGATAAAAATAATAATAGACTATGTATGAGAAATCGTGAACATTGTAGAACACATGTCCTCACGTGATGATGTCCTATCATTCAATTTTCAATACCTGCAGGTGGTGGCAGTTAATCGTTATGATTGTTCAGATATTTTTATTTTATTTCATTTCCAAGGTATATATTATGAATGTATAAGGACAAATGATAGAGGTCGATTGTCTGTAACGTATGTTTATGTTTTTATACAGGTAATTTCCTGTAAATGTAATGTACGGGAAATTGACGAAATTTATCACAAGTTGCCGTTATTTGTCACCTGATAAATTTGACCCAATTCATGACGATGAAATAACTTAAATAAGAAGAGTGAACAAGTCCACTTGTAATTCGCACGCTCGACTTGATCTTCGTGGTCATCCTGACTGCATTCTCTTCAGTAAAATGGGCTGTTTTGCTTGCATTTCACTTACAATGTTAAAACTCTAGTCTGCTCTAATTTTGTAGCTAACGGATACGATTATTTACTCCATCTAATGTATAATATATTATTGCCATTAATGTTTATTTTACAAAAGCAACGAACAAAAGATGGACATTTTATGCTACAAATTGATGTTGCTCTCAATCTATTAAACTCTAATTGCTCGGTATCTCAACCAATAAAGTAATCTATATCTGCTACTTCAAATATTTCTTTATCTATTTTAACTTTGATTTCTCGAATAATATTGATTTTTACTCATTTAGATATTTTGTTTTTTAAAAGTAAAATATTTTCAATTAATTTATCATCATTAACTAGGAACTGAAATTTAATAAATTATAAAGTAAAGTAAGAAAATATTGTTATGAGGGTAGAATTATGAAAAAATTTTTCTCACACCTTGAATTTATGTGAACTTGTTTGGGACTACTCCAGCACACCTTTAAATTTAATACTGTTAACTTGGCTAAGCCTGAGTAGTCCTCACCTTACCTTCTGATAATCTTTCGTTTTAGCTATTGTTCATTTTGCCAATGACCGTTTATCCGGAAACTCTATGTTACTTTCGTATACCTGGCATACTGTACCTTCACTAACCGTAGGTTAACCATAAACATCATGTTGGCCATAATAAAAGTATGTACAAGTGCATCCATTGTATACTGTACAAATACTTGCTGAATTATTTGTCAAGTGTATTTAGTATTTACAATTAATATTTTATTTTATATATTTGATAAATATTAAACAATTATTTATTTATCACTCTTAGTTATTAATTGTTCTTGACAAGTCAGACTCTTGTTTAAACGTTTGAAAACACTATTTTTTAAAATCTTTATCTTTACTATCTTTATAACATCATAAGTTTCATCTGTAATATGACTTTTCAAAGTCACTCAGACTATCTTTCTTGAATCTTTGACTGTCACTGCTTCTACATACATTTTCTTAGTTTTTGAGCCTTAAGACAAATTATTCTATTTCTTCTCGATCTTTACGGTAAGGCTAAAAAAAAATGGGAAAATTTTTTAGTACAAAAAAACTAAATTTAAAGAATATTCGAAATATATAGCATTGGATATTCTCAAAGAACTTGAGAAAACATTTTTTTATTGTTTTATTAATACAGGATAATCGTATGAAATGTTAAAATGTTCTGACATTTTGCCTTATATAGATGTATAGGAAGCATGTATATAGATGTATAGGATTAACGTTCAAGTGTTGGTTAAAGTAACCTGACTAAACTAAGTTCTGTAAACTTTGCGATGTGAAGAATAAATTGTTAAAGAGCATTACTCGTTTTGCCTTCTTATTTCTAATACTTGAAGATTATTTAGGTTAAAGAATCTATAGATGAGATTGAAAATATTAAATATAAAACATAGTTTCTTCTTTAACATTCTTATACCTGTCACATCTGTTCGTTAGGATTTGGATTTCATTTACTCGAAAATTCTTCTCCGAATAAGGATATTCCATCAGGTCATGCTGTGTTCCTTTTGGCAATTTAAATTTATTACTTTTATGCACTTTTTCCTGTACACCTTAGTATAAAAAGCAGGACCTACCTAGTTTACTTGGTACCCATATCCTACGTATACCGTACTCCAACATTTTTCTGCTGTACCTCATAAACTCATCCCTTCTGTTGACCTGATTCTTAACTGTGATTGGTCGGATCCAGCTTTGAATTTTTGAGAATCCCTGTTCCTTCTACTTACAATCATAGAAAACTTGAGGGAGAATAATTCTACAATCTTCAGGTATATTCCGTTCTTTAAGTTCATGCCTACTTCAGTTGCTTTCGAGCTCGCCCACACACCGCTTCGGTGTTGTGAGGTTCTTTCCCAATATATATTTCCTAATCAGTAAGCCAAAAAAAAAAGAAGAAAAAATGTATCGGTGTTTGTCTGATTGCGTAGGTTTTATTAAAGTTTAAATATTAGTTTAAAATTTTTAATCAAACAGTTTCTATTGATATTCATTATTAAATATTTAAATTTCAAATCGTCAAGAAGCGGTCGTTAACATAAGTGCGTGTTCTTTCACTTGTTACGCGTTATTAATTTTTATTTTTACTTGTTTTACAGAGTATAGTGCCATGCCGATGTAGCAGTGATAGTGATGAAGAGCCAGTAACCAAGCAACCACGCTTGAGTCGAAGACAATCTCGAGAATCTGGCAACGGAGTCGGTCGTGGTCACATTAGAAAATCGAGTCTAACAAAACGTGCGATTCCATCAAGACGGCGAAATCGTGAAGCTGGTGTTACTTCGAGCTGTTCCGACAGCGATATGTCATCTGGAAGTCGAAATAACGACGAAGAATCTTATTTTGAGGTAAAAAATTATCCAGTGAAACCAATTTTTATAATATAAATTAATAATTTAATTAATAAAATACTAAAATTTGACGTAATTATGTAAACGAGTACGTCATACATTTTTAAGTGGAAAATGATAATAAATGATTTTTTATAATTCAATCAAAAATTAAATTTTTCGATGTATTTATATTTTTTTAGGACGACTTAGAACAGTTTTCAGTTACGGAATCGAAAGTTCTAATTGGCCAGAACATTGATCAACGTTCTGATTGTGTAGAACACGGAGATCAAGGTGAGGAAGGTGATATTGAAGAAGGAGAAGCAACAGACGACGAAATGCCTCCGACACTTGATCCGGTAACCACTTCAGTAACTGATGAAATTGATGGTATCACCAAGAACACACATGCGGTTTCCCAGGCTCCATTACAAAACTCTAAGATTTTTGATGAATACTCCAGTTACAATACTTCTGATCGTAAATCTAAAAATTATGCTACTTTTTATTTCAAACACCGAGATACTGATTCAGAAGCCGATGTGGACCAGAATCAGAATGAAAATGAATGCGAAAATGACAATGGAGGAAATGTTGAAGAATCTTCAGAAGAAGAGTGGACTTATACAGCAACATCGCCAGTAGAAAAGAATTCAGTGGTTACGATGGAAAAGAAGAGAACTAACGTAGTTGTTCGTTTGGATTTTGGTGAAACAACTGTTGAGAAAATAAATAATTATGAGTGTACATTGGTTGAAGAAGAAAATTCAACACTCAAAGAGAATAAAAATGAATTGGAAAGGAAAGAGAAAGAATTGAAACAATCAGAAGATTGTGAAAGTGAAGATGATACGCGGAATAATATTAAAAAATTAATTTCTGATGTTGAAAAACTTGTGAGTGAAGAGGGCCGTAATAAAATTTCCAAAAACTTCCCCGAACTTTTTATCCGGAATTCAAGCCATCAGGATCATCGTGCCAAGTATTCAAGAGTTAAAGAATGGCTCAAGGTCAACTCAAGACATGAGAGTGAAGAAAATAGTCCATCAAAGGTAAAAATTTTTTATGACCTTATTTGATGTATCTAAAAATTTTCCCAGCTTACGTGAAATCTTAAATAACTAAAAATGCTCTTAAGTTATTTGTTCTCATACAGCACATTATAAAAAGAAAGATCATAAAATTAAGGATTAAGGTGAAACTTGAAATCATAAAATACAAAGTAAAAGAATGAACACGTGAACTAAAATTACATTAGCGCTTTGATAATATTTTGCATGCTAAGCATTGCTTGATCTATTATTTAGTACTACTCAACCGAGCAAGTTATAATTGGAACACTTGCCAATTGCGCTAGCAAATCCAATCCGATTGAACTCTCGGCCATTTTTAATGATTGGCAAAATCTCTGATAACATGGTAGTTTATATTCGATTAAATAATTTTTTTCTTATATCAAATTACAGAATTGGCAGCCATTGGATAGCTGTGATGCAAGCGGTGAATATACAACAGGAGAGTCAGATATAGAAAAACAATCGGATTCTTCAGAAGATTTACAAAGCAGCATTGCGACCTATCGGCTTGGATCTGTGTCACATTCAGTCTCTCAAGAAACATTTAAAGAATCAGATAAAACATCAGCAAATGAAGGAAATAATTTGATAACTCCAGTCGACGCGAGTACTCCTCGAGTAATTATGCGAACAAAGAAGAAGTCTAACGGTCCACGACCGTGGAGTGTTTCTTGTGTGTTTGGACAAATGAATTCAAATGTCAATGCGGATATCTCACAATTTTCTATTTCTGAAACTGCTTTGCATCAACTTGTTACAAGTCCACCAACTAAATCTGCTTCTTTAGATGCTACGTAAGTTTATTTTACTTATATTTTAAATTAAATTGTGAATAATTTTTTTATATCGTTAAACTGATATTAATACTAGTTGAATACTTGAAAATAATTTTTTTCAATTGTGCTTACAGAGAGTCCAATGCTGATTTGAACAATTCATCGACAACAATGTTGGAAGAGTCAGGACGTTCAGTTCGTAACAGTTCATTGAGGAAGAAAAAAATGAAGTTACGAAAGAAGACCTTGGTAATTTTTTTAATTATCTATTACAAATAACTATTATTTACGAGTAATATACCGTCATGTATATTATCTTGGGCAAAAGTACACAGAATTATATGTATTAAAATATTACATCTACCTGATAATTCTTAGAGAGTAATTATCAGCGTAGGTTAGTGATAATTACTTTAGAGTCATGTGAATTAGATTTTGAACTTGACATATTATGTTGATGTTTAATTTGCCAAAAAAAATTCGTAATATACGGAAAGATAGAAAATTAATATTTAATTATTTTAAAGTAGGTTAGTTATATATTTTTTTTAAATTATTTCTACAGAGTCGCAAAAGTGAATCTGGTTCTGATGGAATTAATGGTATTTCCGGTGGAAGTGATGGAAGCTCAAGTCATCAAAATCGCTCAACTAGGAAACAAAGTGATAGTCGTATGCGATTAAAGAAACTTGACTGTCATCGTTGCGTAGTGTCGCTTGTAACTCATGGCTCGACAATCGCGTGTCACTTACACAATGAAGGTATTGACAAAGGCTATGTTGGAAATCCACCACCATCAATTAAATTAACTTGCTGTACACCGGATCCATCGTCGGGTGACACTGAAGAGAATATCGCCTGTCGAAAGCGGATTTTCATGAATGATATTAATAGAAAACAGTTAATCAGTCCGATTGATAGTGACATCGAGAAGAATAGTTTGGGAAATAATTCATTTTCTGAACAAGCATGGGATAGTTATCAAGAAAAATATATGAGCGAACCTTATAGTGAAGTAGCAGATGTTGAAACCGCTCGCAAACTTCTTGATTTCGGAGATGATTATCGTAACTTCTTGGACAGCCAATCTGATTGTGCTTCAAGCTTGAGTGCAGTTCGATGCTACTCTCCTTTATTGCTCAACAAAAGAGTTAACTCTGTATGTATTTATTTTCGTATTTTACATTATTATAATAGCATATTATTGGTTAAATTTGATTTACTGATTGTTTTTAAATTTTTTACTACAGGAAAATAAGAGTAACTCTTCAGAAGACAGCGATAGTGATGCTGAGAACTATCGACGTGTGGTCGAAAAATCTTATAATAAATTACTAGTCATGGAAAATTATTTTTCTTGTGCCAACAATAATTCGAAAATTATTCAGGACAATGTATGTATGAATGATACCTTAGAAAGTACGGAATCATTTGATATGCCTGAACATACTGGGGACAGATTCAAAAAGTTGTTACAATGGCAAAGAAACATATTAAAATGGATTAAAAAAATCATATCATTTGTCTTTAAGACCATTAAGACAATGACAAGACACGTTACAAGATTTGCTTTTTGGGTTTTTAGTCGAACTAAAAATCATAAATTCCCAAAAATTTTGTTGACATTTTTAAAGATATAGTTTATGTTTTATAATTTTATGACGACTGGTTCTATCATTAATAACATTGACACTAAAATAATATATTTTCTTTTATTATTTGTTTTGACAATTTTTTATATGAAAAAATAAAAACAAAATTAACATAACTAACGAAATGCGCTAACCTTTCCTTTCATTTACCCCAATCGAAACCCTAAAATTCATTTATGTATTAATTTTAAAAAATATTGCGATCATACTAATTAAGATATAATATCATTAAAATTTTCTAATTAACGAATTAGATAAGCTACTATGATACTTTGTATAGTTATAACAATATAATCTGTGGTTGGTATAAGAATTACTAATTGAGGTATGGTAATCTTGTCATTAATCTCCCGTATATAAATATTTAATTTTCTAATACCGAATATTTGAGATAATAATTTACATATTCTCAGCTAACCGCTTAGAAACTTATGCACAAGATGAAATTAAGTTATTTAGTACATTATACTTGACATACTGACGTCCTCATTAAATAATATTGTTATTGTATAGAAGAATCGAATATTTTATTATATTATGTAATGACATATAATTTATGCATGTAGAAATTCTAAGAAGCCTATTTAATTATGTTTTATAGATTTATTATTTTAAAGCATACTCGATTATGATATAATAATAATACTGGTTGAATTTATTTGAATTTATTCGATTCCACTGTACAGTAGCTGCTTAATTTACTCATAAAAAATAAGATCTGGTTTTTATTAAAAGATAATTGAAATGAATTATTACAGATCGATGTCAAATATATATGCAAAGAAAACATCAAATGTCTGCAAATGTTGGTGGAACCAAACAGGACAATTGGTGGAAAAAATTTAAAACAAGTTCGTGGTGAGTACGATAATAAAGAAAAACATTATTTATCGTTGGCTTTATTATCATATATTGCTGTCGGATTGATAACTGCCTTTAGTGGTTTTATATTTTTTTTTCCTTTGTAATCTAAATCATCGCGATAAGAGAATATCTGGTCCAATTCAATATTAACATTTTAAACCCAGTGAAATAAAGACTGACTTGTTGTAGATAATATATCATTGTAGAATAAATTATTATATATTGCTATAGTAATTTGCACTATTATCTTTATTTTAACTTATCGATGAGTAGAGGCTTTTTATTTTATAGGTTTTTTTTGCTTATGTGATACTATAATTTTTAAATTGATTTTTAACTTGTTGACATTGTATGTAAATTTTTTTATTAATAAATTTTCTGCTTATGCCTTATTAACAATTTATTTTTCTTCACTTACTGCACTGCTTTTTAATTTGTAGTTACTTTTTTTTTTGATTGGTAGATTTAGATGAGAATTTATAGATTGAATCTTGAACTTTCTAAATCAAAAAATATTTTTTCCCCAATCAATTATTCAGCGGAAGATAGTAGGAGTTTTTAAAGCTTATTATATCACACTTTTTAATGCAATGAATAATAAATATCAATAGAATATAATGAAAAAAAAGAATAGTTGAGTAATAGGTATTAGAGTTAAAAAAAATACGTAGGTGTGTTAAATGTTGAAAAACATGATTGGATTTGTGCGCCTTCAGTAATACTCTACACCCGTTTACTTTTCATACATATAGTTTTAGTTTTAGAAGTCTCTCAACCGCCAATGTCAACGGATAGATAAAATATTTATTCATACGCAAACAAATGTTGAACATTGTAGTTAAATTTAGAGTCTTCATATACTTGATTAAATTCATTGTGTAGAATAATTCTATTTTAATTAATCTTGATCGTAATCGTTTTCCGTTCAATTTTTAATCAATTTGTTTTTATACTTAGTGTATTCTGTCAAGTGGAACCTCTCAATTCCCTCTCTTTTTTCTGTGTTAAAAAGTGAACAATCAAGTGCTTCTTATTATTTGATGAGTTCAATCTCTGGGCTTTCTCCAACACACTACTTACTTGTGTTCCTACTAAGATGCTCAGTTGAATGTCTAAAACTATGGTGATCGCATCAGTTGATTTCTTATCATTGGCGATAAATAACTCGATTGAAATAAAAAATTGCCCATTAAATTGATAGAGTTAAATAATCATTATAAAGTGAGAAACATTTAAACACCAATTGTGCAGTAGTTTTTCACATAATTATATTATGATAGATTTTATATGAAAGCATAAAAAATAGAATTATTGACGGTTATTATTTGAAGATAAGTAAACAAATTCTGATGATGCACCAAAACGTTGTGCAAACAATGTTTGTCCAAACTGATATTACTGCAAATGATTTACGTGAAAATACTTTCTCCGGTGATACAGGTAAATTCTCATAGTTATCTTTTTGTTGGAAATAAAAATATCGTGTGCAAATACGTTCAAGGAACTTTTGCCAATTGTCCAAACAGAAAATATGATCTAATTAAATTTTTTCTTACTTGATTAATTTACGAATAAATGATTTATATTTCAATTCAATTGAATTAATTATAAAAAATTGAAATACTACAGATCTTTGTAGAAAACCTAGTTAGTCACCTTTTGTTACTTTTGAGTAGAATTTAAAATTTGCAACCTTGAGCTCAATCGATTTGTGTGCTTCCTACCATTTATATTTATCTGCTTGTCTCACGTAATAACAATAGAGTAATATGTGTTAGGCCGATTGTAGGAGCTATGAGAACTAGTCAAACAAATTATGTAAAGTGATGACTCTCTGGGTGCAGCCTTATCAAAAATCCAATCGGTTCCCTCCATTATAATGTTGCATATAGAACATTTGATTAGTTAATTGTTATTATTAATCTCTCATTACTTTAAATTATGTTTAATAATCATTTGTATATAATAGATGAAAAATTATTTTAATAGAATATAATTAAGAACTTGTTATAAAATTTCTAAAACTATAAAGATACGGTTTTTGTTAATTATTTCCTCTTTTGTGTAATTATTTTCTAAACAAAAAATTACTCTCGGATAGAAAAAGTGTGAATCTTTCACTCTGATTTCTCCTTTCACCGATTTTAAATCGGCAAAAAATAATGAAGATCGCTAGATCAAGTTGAGATCAGCTGTTGCAACATGGCGGTATCATGAGTCATTTTGCAGCAGTTTCTTCAAGTGTAAAAAATACATTCATGTAACTTTTAGTAGTGGTAGTAGTAATAGTAGTTGCTGAGTAGTTAAAGTGTAATAATTAAGTAAAAATAATTGGTTACGAGGTACAACAAAGCATGAACGTGAAGAAAATATCTCTTTTTTAGTTGCTTACTTTCTTTTTCTTTTAAATAAATGAATATATAGGTATATGAAATGTTTATCTTCACTCTTCCGTTATAATAATTATAGACTGTGGTGAAAAAAAATCAACTTACAGTCAGATAATTAAATTCAAGTAGATGAGATATCTTTTATATTTTGTTTTAACACCTTATGATATCAATTATAATTTTTTCTTATCTCCGGTTTGTATTTAGAATAATTTCCATTATTATATATTAATGAATTTTTCTTTTTCTAGGTTTAACTGAAAGATGGAAAAATTTGTCTCACAAAGTGGAAGAAATCCAAAGAGCTAATGCTCTTCAACGAGAAATAGCAGCTTTACACTTAGAATTCAGAGCCCTTGGTGAAAAATTGATTTCATATGAAATTGCTATAGAGCCTGCACATGTCCTTGAAAATAATATACACCAAATAACGGTAAGTTGACCAATATTTATTCTCATTTTTGAATTGAACATAAAATCCTGTTATTCAAATTCAAATAACATTTCTGCCCTTTTTTATCCAATGAACTTGACACTTTCTTCTTTATCGACTTTATCTGTTTTACCGCACGATATAAACATTAGTAACATTATTGATAGTCGGTAATGCAGTTTAAAAATATTCAAATGGACAAATTAACATTCTTCAGAGAAGTTATATAATTTTAATTCTTTTCACTATATGGAATCATAATTTTCCAACATATGACAGTAATAAATATCGTTGATGGCCTACATAGAATAATATAAAAATGTAAATTGTGTGAAAAAAAATTACTTAAACTAATTAGAACTTAGAAAAGAATTATAATAGCTAAGAATAGTACAAATCTAAAAGAGTAACAATATTTAAGAAGGAGAATTTCAACAATAATAGAAGGAGATAAAATAGTATGAATGAGAAAGATAGCAAGAGTGGCGTAAAAGCGTAGTCGTGTTGCACGTACGCTCGTCGGGAGAAGACGTGCTCAGCATGGCAAAACTACACAGCGAGAGAGTAAACCCGTCCAACCCTGTAAGTTTCATCCCCTGCTTGCAAAACTCACTTCACCCTCTTTCTACTTTCTCTTCCTCACTTCCCTCATCTTCAGTTCTTTCCCTCACTTCACCTTACATATCCAAATATTGACGGCATCCCTCCAAGCCATCCTCATTGCTCAGACCAAACACATGCTCCCTATCTATCATCAAGATGTATTAGCGTCCAACATTTGCTGGCTGAACTCGTCGCTCCTCTGCATTATGCACGAGCGTAAGAGACTCAAGACTCGAGTCATCGTGATACTCTGCCAACTGCCAGTATCGTCTTTGTAAATTTTCTTGACTATCAACTTTATTAATCATCTTTAGAACCTCTACCTGCTGAATTATTCATATCATTTTCATTTTATTTTCTTATAAATATCAAAAGATAAAAACAGTACCCACACACTTGATGATAGGAATTAGTTAATTATAAACAAGATACATGGATATTTCTTTAACTTATTCTTATTTGTTACTTCAGAAATTTCATTTAAATAAAGATAATAGAATAGGATGATGATTGGTTGAAAATAAAAGTGTAAAAAAGCAAAGAATGTATTATACATTCATGTATAAACATGGAGTAAATGAACATTCAAGAATACAACAGAGAAAGATAAATACTAGCTACACAAGATTATATTGTATCCTCAGCATTGCTTATTATGTCATTGGACTCACACTGACATTAATAATTTTGCAATCCTAAAGGTAATCAAAAACACCTGATGAGTCTTATGATACTTCAATGGTCGACATTTGTTATTTTCTTGACAATTTATAATCGATTTATATGATAGAGGAATATTATTGAATCAATTATTATATCTTTCGTAATAGATCACTTTTGTCTTCAATCAGTGAACTTTAAAAATACCCAAGCAATTATTTTCTAGCAGTTGAATATAAATTACAGTCTATCATCTTTATTGAAGATGGATAAAAAATATTTGATTAATTGCTGATCCAAGTTCTTTTATGTGATATTTTTACTAAGTAAAACTTACACGTGTAACTTTCAACAAGAATAATATACCTGTGTCTTAATTATAATATCACTTGTTCAATTTGTAAGAGATGTATAAATGAGAAAAGCAACCGTGTCATGTTGTCACGTCTTCGTGATAGTCTTACTGAAGGTAGCAGACGAGTATGGCATAAATAACATCACAAGTTTGATGGTAACAAACATAAAGGGTAATAAGAAACCAATACTTAGATCAAAATGGAGAAGACTTTCAAGTACTTGACAATAAAATCCTATATTTTTATATCATAATTATTCAGCATAAATACAAACGATTTAAATTCACGGGACAATTTAAAAATAAACAATATATTCAGACAATAAATGAAATGATAAAATGCATAGATGACTGGTTAGAATAAAGCAAAAGTCACATGGCAGGAATAGTTGTCTAGTTTCCCTAACAGCGTGAAAAGTGGACGTCATTGATATTCCAATCACATTGCAATGCCAGAAGCACAGAGGCAGAGGATTCTCCCTTCTATTCTATCCTTCTCCAGTTCCTCTTCCTCACCCTAGGGTTTGCTAGTACTATTGCTAACTTGGTAGAGAGACACGCGCATTCTGATCTAATTCAATTTCCAATCAACAGCCAATCAATTGATTCGAATTCGGTATACAGAGCGACCGCTTGGAGTTCGGGACCTGAATGTCTATGAGCTACAGCAGTAGTAGTTTAATAAAGCCTATCGAGAGACTATGGAAACATTGAATTTAATTAGTATTTGTATTTTATTTACTACCTTTTCATAACAAAAAGAACTCTAGTTGGTAGACTTGGATGAACAAAGATCGAAATTTTCTACAATTTATTTAAGATAATTAAATGTTTTACTTCCATGACATTAAGTAATTTAAGACTTTGGATTTCTCTTGATATGATTATACGTAGAGCTTGATTTTATATGTATATATAGAGGGATACATAGATCGTGTACAATCTTAAACGGCCATCAATCTATTCCCCCTGACTGTACTGCGGGCGCGATTCGTTCGAGTTAAGTCGCGGAACGAGGCCGTAAAAATGTATATTTGATGTTTCAGACGGAGCTGGCTACACTAAGGGAACGTAAGAGTGCGATGTTGGCGCTCAATGTCTCGGCCCACAGACTTATCACAGACCTCGGAGCCGCAGCAACTTCTGTATCTATTTCACTGAAAGACGGGGTTGCCGATCTCTACAGAGTTTGGGATGAGACTTATCAAAGGTAATTATTCTATCATCCATTAAAGTTTATACCAACTTTTTAATTCATATTCATTTTTAACAAGTTTTTGAGAACTTGAATTATTTTGAACGACAAAAAATTGTACTTGAAATTTTAAATGGTAAAAAAGAATATTCGAAAAGGGGCTATTGAACTGACCATCGTTTTGGTTGGTGACGTTAGATAAATATTGTGAGAGGTAATGAAGCCTCTAGAGCAAACAGACGGGAAAGACGAAAAAAAAAGACGAAAAAAGAAAACCAACTATTGGCAGCAAAAGCTATATGAGGATCTTGGAACCTATGTTACAGAACCTAACTTAGGGCTTTCTAAAAGATCATTACTTTAATTGCTGATTCTTTTAATTTTGATTTATTTATCTATATTTTTTATTGATTTTAAAATGATTATATAAATACTTTTTTAATTTGATCTATCAGGTTTATTTGAATTTTGTGGTGAATTATAAAGTCAGCTGAACGGATTTAACATTTCTCTTTGGGTCATTGGTCAGATACCTTTGACCTCACCGAGAAAATCCCTATCAGCATTAGGGGAATCAAATGCTTAAGGAAAAATTAAAATGGAGATTAAAGATTTAGTAGAATTACCATGTAACCTTCTTGAATTTTCAATTTTCTTTTTATATTTATTTTTCATTTTTGTCATAATCAACAACTGTATGGTAAAATAAATATTTTTATGCCAAAAAACTGTAATTTACAGACATGGTGTGCGTGTAAAACATTAATTTTAATGTTTTGATCGTAAAAGTTTATGTCTATAGTCGCAAGGGATGTCACCTATAAAGTTTGCTGGACTGTAATTTAATAATTCTATTGGTAGTTATAACAATCGTTTTTTAATCATCACCATTCACTTCATATTTATATTTCTTTTTAAGTTCAAAAGTTTTTTAATAAACAAAGGAAAAAAAAATTCATTTTGTCAAATGTCAGTTGAGATTTCCAACGTAAAATGTTTTCCTTGCTGTAAGCTAAAAGAGAGAAAGGGATCTTCTAATAATTTGGAAACTTTTACTCAAAGTGTTTGCTCTAAGGCTTAGATCTATTTGGTTTGATTGCAACATGACACTTTCCGTTTAATTAATGTATTTATTGATTTTTTTTTGCAGTTAATAAAAATGACATTTTAATAACGAATAATATTTTATTTTATTTTTAGGGGTAATCAACAGTTGTGTGCCTTACAGTCAGTCCAGCAGTTCAGTGCTCGTCTTTCAGAGTTACAAAGTGCTCTTCGACGGGATAAAGATACTCTAGCTGTATTAGATGCTGCTCTCCAAGCTGGAGCGACTTCAGAGGTTGCTTCTTCCGTTCGCGATGTCGCTAGATTGTTATCCGAGAAGCAAGATGTAAATTGCGAGGTATGTGTATTAGAGGTAGCTCATTTATGCAGTAAATAAGATAGGAAATTACATTTTAAAAGCATTTATCGCATATTACAGGTGAGGTTCTATGATGTAAGCGGCATAATGCAAAGGAAATTAGAAAAAATATAATTAAAAAGAAAGCTATTTTTATTTTTTTATTAAATGGAAATAAATTGAGCACGTACAATGACCAGTATTTGGATACTTGATCAAGTAATAGAACTTGACTGATAGGTAGTCGTCAAAACCGCGAGTTGGTTAAAGGCTCATAGCTTATCTTGCCATTTCTTGAGTTAGTAATTTACATATAAAGTAAACTCTCTCATAGCAACATTGGTTTGAACCACCAAATACCCTAAAAGTTTCTTTCGATCGTGGTGTCGCGCTCATTTCGTACGTCAAGAAGACATACTACCGTTTCCTACAGACGGTTTAGATATTTCAAACTCTTGTATCGCTTCGTTCTTAAGTTTTTACTCTCTCAAACCTTTACTCTTATAGGTACTCCCTTGCCTCATATAAAAGAAATAAGCCAATACTTTTACACTTAGTGTGACACACTGCTTCTTATTCTTCTTTGGAGATACGACACTCTAGAGAATCATTTCGAATATTCTTCATCATTCTTCTTTCATTCATTTATTTCTCTTTCTCTCAATGCAAGTTGAGAAAAATTATCTTGGAAATCAAGTAAAAAAGTTTCTTTTTCTCTTTATTTTATTGCTGACTATTGTCAAATATATTTCATTATATTTACATTTATATATGAAGACAGTATCAAGTGAAAAAATCATCGACTGATGTGCTGATAAATGATGTATTTGAACTCTAGCTAAAAAGTCAAAGAAAGTCACTTGGACTGTGGTGATATTAAATTTGTATTTTTACGCTGATTCCACGGGCCATCCTCGTACGTGAGTTGAAAGGAAATCGTTTGGGCGATTAACGATCTCAGTTTCCCTAGAGAGAATGGATCAGTTTCTATCTCTTTTCTTCTCTCTTTCCAGATACATAGAAAAAAAGAGAAAAAAGAAAATATCGAAGCGTCCGAACCCTAGTATCTAAACCGTCGAGTATGTGATCCCCTTTTACTCCGTTGACCCCAACACCTTTTTCCCATTCTGAAATATTTTATTTAGTAGCTATCAATATGTACAAAACTGATCGGCCAACAATGCTTGTGAAAACTCGTCAAGATTTTCTCAATGTGCATTTTTTTATTTCTAAAAAATAAATGATCTTTTACATTTTTCATATTATCATCTGGTCTTTTCCAGCCTGGCTTTTCTTACTAGTTCCCAACAAGCCCTTTTTCATATAATTTCATCAGCAATTGAATTACAAATTATTCAAATACTTTCAAATCAAATATGAATATTTCCAATTTAATTATTATACAGATGTTAGAATTTTTAAGTATTTTTAGGTAGATTTTATTTTATAACAAAAACCAGGATGTTTGATTAATTATGAAATATTTAAAAAAATGATTAAATTGAGTTTTGGATGATTTTTATATTCAAAGTGAGTTTTTGTCACTGTAAGATGTGGTTGGTGTTCGATAAGACTAGAGACTTCACCATCTTACATGTTAGTCTAGGTTGGTGTCTTGCTACTTGGTATGCGGATCGCGCTTTTCATTACCGGAGGCTCGTTCCCTAGCTTCTCCGTTGCAAACAGCCTAAATCTACTCTCTCTTTCTTTCTTTTCTCCTTTGCTTCTCACACCTCTCATTTTCGATTTCCCCCCAGCTTCCTTTGGTGCTGTCTTTTGGTCCAGGCTATTGCAACTTGTCCTCTCAATATAGTCGACTAAATCTATAGATATCATCATGTCTTTCTACTTCATACTCTTCTCAGTTCTCTAGAGTTTTACACTGACACTGGATTATATAATGCTCGATATAATACCAATAACATGAAGCTTTGATGTTTTGAACAAGATATTGAATATTTTTCTCGCAATATGTAAATAATAAAGTGAAAATAAAATCAGTGAAAGAAATGAGATAATAAATTGGAATGTTTTATTTTTTTCTAGGATCAAGTGGTAATTAAAGAAGATGCATTGACACCGGTATCCGGAGAAAAGTTTCTTGAAGCTGGAGTGACGAGTTTGGGTCAAGAGTGTGGAACATTTTCAGACTCGGGAATTTCAGATAGTGGAAGTGAGCAGGAATTAAGTGAGCGTGAACGTCGATTGGCTGCATTGCGTAGATTGACTCGCAGTTTAGAGAATCAGCTTGCACCAGGAAGCGAAGCTTTAGCGGAATTATGGCGCAGAGTTGAAGATGCTGAAGTGGAACTCCGAAATTTACAGAAACAATGTCGAGAGCTTATTGTACGCACGGCTGCAAGTGTTGAAGCTAAAGTTGCCTCGTGCAATTCTCAAACCAAACATTTGACCAGGTAAATAAAATATATCAACTATTTAACTTTACACATACTTGGAACATTTTCATACACAATTTTTGTTAAATTTTATTGAGTTGTACAGTTTATTTGCATTTTTACCTATATAATCTCATCAAACTTTGTTTCGAGAACATGTTATACATACTATCATCACTATCCTTTTAACAATCCCATCATTTTTTTTATAGTTTCGTTTAATCACCAACCGATGGTGCGGGAAATAGGTTCAGTTCTTAGGAGCACGCAAGCTACTTGTATTGCATCGTAAAAAAAGTTGTAAAAAACTCTCCTTCTGTTCTTTCGTTATTTTCATTCCTCATTTCGCGGTTTTATGTCTTTCTCGGGTTTTTCAGTCTCACTTTTTTTCATTTCTATGATTTTATAGGCTAAATAAACTTGCAATTTTCAATGATAATAATAAACATTAATTAAATTTGAATCAAGTCGTTGATGTATTTTGCAATCACTTTCATTTACTCTAGTTGAAGGTTAATAACATTTATTGATGATCATAAAGATGGATTATTAGGGAATCAACTTAATCTGATGTTTCATTAAAGTTGGAATTGTTTTTGTTCCAGCAAACGGAAGATGAGATCAGCTGATGATGCAGAACCTTTACGTAAGTTGAATCAAATTAATGGTATTGCAACTGATGATCCTGAAGATGATCCAAATATTTCCCAAAATTGGATTTGGAGAATTTTAAGAGCAGCTCTACCTTTCCAATTAGCAATTGTGGCTTTATTCTGTGCTGCTTGTCTATTAGAACCACATTGCTGTGAGGCATCAAATAATCTTAATCTTTCTTTCACTCCTCAACTACGTTATGTTCGTGGTCCACCTCCTATTTAAAGTTAAAGGTTTCTTTAATTGACCTTACAATTTTATAATTAATTTACCATTATTTCAGTTGGTATATTTATAGAGCATTTTATAAATATTGTGTTTTAAACGCAATTACAATAATTTATCATTTAAGACTGAATTTGAAAGAGAAGGCAAATGCCTCACGATACATTTTTTTCTCAGAAAGGGAACGAAAAAAATAGTATTTTCGTACTTATTTATTATCAGTAAGTGCTGATATAATTTTTTTTATTTAAATCGTCATTAATATTTAATGATACAGTGTTGAATTAATTTTTGTTCAACATATATATGTTGTTCAGCATCATTGGCAAAGAATGATGACAATTGTTTCAGAAAATACATACCGATTGAGGAATGTTTTTTTAAAAACTTTTTCTGTAGGGCATGTAAATATTCTTTATGTATTATTTTTTTTTGTTAATTATAGATTTGCAGAGTTTTTATTTTATGTTGCATGCTGTAGAAGATAATCTGATAGTTTTCAGTTTCTTCTCATAGATTTTACGATAATTTTTTTATATCATATTTACAAATAATATTAAAGATCAATATTATTATGATCACAAGAAGCAAGAAAATATTAAACAATAAATAAGAAAGCAATTTAGCTTTACTGAGAATATAAAAGTGACATGAAAAAATTAAAATATCAACTAAATAATTATCATTGACAAATACTATCTATCAATGATGTAAACAATGAAACGACATACTAATGATTGCTGAATATATGCTCATTTTTATTTTTCTTATCAGCTATATTCAGTACATGAAATAAATTCACTCAAGTGCCCAGAAAATACGTCCAATCTTTATTATCCCTTATATATATTTATAATGAATGAGGATAATAATTATAAGAAGGAAAATCCTTCGAAGAAAATGAAGTAATAATTTTTCTACTTCATACTGTTTGTTGAATACGTACTTTTCTAACTTATTTATTGTTATTTTATTCATTTCTATCTTTCCAATCACTCCAAGTGAATTAAACACATGAGTTGAAATCCTTTGCAGACATGATAAAAATAATTTTGAATTTCTTCAAAATACCTGTAAGACTTATGATAAAAACTATGTTATCAAATTATTTTAGCCTCTCTAGAGTTCTTATTCTACTTAATTTGAACCAGAATAATATTAAAATCAAATAATATTGTGCCTGAAAAATTTTAAGGATATTTTTCCTTATGAAATTTTCATCTACACGTAAGCTAGAGAAATCAATAGTTTTATGTGTGCTTAAGAATTTATTATTTAAAATAATAAGTTTCAATTTTATAGTTATATTTTAACTTGTAGTTAAAATATGAATCATGAATTTTCTTATGCATTTTTTAAAAAGAGTATAATTCGCCAGTAATAGGTGATTTAATCACATTTATTGATGATACTTATCAAGTAATTTAAATTTGATGTTTAAAGGTGTATTTTCAGATTTTTTTTAAGAGTATGAATAAAAAGTAGTGCCTGATTGATACAAGAACTTTTAGTTCTGCCTCGATAGAGAGTGTCATGCAATAAGGAGTGAAAAAAAAGAAAAATAAATAAAAATAATAAACAAGGAAACTTATGTTTGAGCTTTTTATAGAGTCTTGAGTAAGTAAATTAAAAAGCTATTTTTTAATTGACAGCTTTATATTTAATATTAAATATGGAACATTATCATGCACAATATATTGCATTTTATCAAATATTTAAAAAAATATGTATGTAAGCGTGAGTTTCAGTTGATAATGGTTATAAACCATATAATTTTTTTTGGCTAGGATTTTAAATAATCAAAAATTGCAAATTTATTTCTGAATATACGTATGCATTTTTTTTAAAATCATGATAATGTGTATAAAGTACCTGAGATTTCATATAACCTACTATATATTAGGAATATTTATTTCTTTTGAATAAATAGCAGTAATATTTTTCATATGATCAAAAGAGTGATGATGGAGTTGATGATGAAACAATTGTATTGAGCTTAATTCAATGAATTGAATGCATTTTTTTAATTGAGTTTATCTGAATAAGAGAAAAGAGAAAAATAATTGAAAAAAATAAATATATCTGTGTATTATTAAAACTATTACTGCCAGCATTATAAGGCATTTTCAATCATTTTAAGCGTAAATTATTAAGAGCTTAATAATGCATGATTTTCATTACATAAAGTATAATCATTATTGTCTAGAATGGTTTAAAAGCTAGTACTTGAGAATATTTTTCAATCATTCACTATGACAATTGTCAAAGCATTTGATCATTTAGATATTTAATATCTTATTAATGATATCTTTACTAATGAATCAACGATAATTATCGTTTTCTCAAAACATAATTATTGATATGAAAAATTTTATTTAAAAGATAAAATAAATGTTAATCATAAAAATGATTATAAGTGATTTTAAATAAATCTTATAAAAAAAAAGTCAAGACTTTGGTAAATCAAAAATGACTATTTTTATAAATTTGATAAATTGCTGAAATAATTTCAGCATTAAAGAAAATTTCGTACTGAATTTTAGGAACTTTATAAGTTGAAATGAAGAAAAGAGTTATTTGTAGCTCATTATTGAAAAAAAAGAAAAAATTGTACTAACATGTAACTTTTTGTACTCTAGATACTAGTAATGTATTTTGAAATTTTAAAAATAAATAAAGGATTGAAAAAAAATCTGAAATAATTATTGAATGTCTTTTATAATTTCTATAATTTTTTATTCCATGTAAAGATCTTTGTTATGATTATTAATAATTGATTATTTGAATTTCCACAATATTTTTTATTTTTATTTTTTTGTAAAATTAACACAAAACAAAATTGATTTAAGTATTACAATGATGAAAGCGCAGAAAAGCCGATGTGCCGTTGTTTGAAAGAAACAGCAAAGTGGCTGGTCAGACTCAACTCCTTTTAACGTGATGCAAGTACGTCCATCAGTTGGTCCATCAATACAAGGGGAAGAGAGAAAGAGAGAATATACTAAAGAAAGTCCACGAGCACAGACTATAATGCCGACAATTCAGCTGAAGGTAATGATTCCCTAGCGATTGATACACAGGGGAGGATTCATGATTGCTGGTGTTACCTCGATTGTGGCGGCCTCACTGAAGTCGGCACCAAACGCACGGGATTCACCAGGTCAAAGGTGAATTCCGCCGTGTTATTACGACTCACACCTGTAGCCTCTCTTTCATTCATTTATCTTTTTCTCTTTATTATACTATCTCTTCTTCTTTCTTTCTTCTTTAATAGCGAAACAAAGTCGAATTATACTTGAAATCAAGTCCACTTAGTTCATGCTGCGTAATACATCAATTGTTGCTGTTTTGTGATTTTGATGTCAGTCTAATTATTTTTAAGCTTTCTTCATTTTAATAATTCGTTCAAGAAATGGATGTATTGAAAATAGTCTTTAAAATTTATAGAACCAAGAATTATGATTGTATATAACTTAGAAATCCATAAAATCATTTCCAGTTCATTCTGAAATCTTTGATTTCATCAGAAATGTGCAGAGTATTATTTATTCCTAAATTAACTTACTATTTCAAATCAATAATGCCATGAGAAATGTTTTTGATTTTATTTTTAATTTTGTTTCAAATAATGAAGCTGATATAAAACAAAGTCATAATTAAATAGGAGGATTTGAGATTAATTTAGTTATGAGACGAAAGAATAACAGAAAGACTCAACAAGTGTCGTATTATATATCTCATCACTTGATTCTTTTCATCCACTTCCATCCCTCTCGGTCCAGAGAGTGCAGGAGGACGGCCTCAGTAGGCGGTCGGTAGTAGTGAGATGGTCCTCTCTTCTCCTTCTCCACTTGGTTTGATCACGTGATGTTGCTGAAATGGTAGAAGCTCCGCCCCCGCGAGCTTGCACCGTTTTAGTGGTGATAGCAGTGGTATCAACCTTCTATACCCTACTCTTGTGTTTCCCTCTTTCCGCATAACCTGCATCTCCTTCCAGTGTTCTCCAGAGTCCAGCCTCTCACGACGCGTGTCCCTCTCCGCTGTCACCTGCCCCTCCAGATACGTGCCAGCAGATACATCTGGAGTCCGCATTACGTTCGCGCTTCGCATCTGTTTCGGTCGCGTTCTTGTCGCGAAAGTCACCATGATACAGATTAACTCACCTGGATGACGTTCATCAGGAACTCGGCTATGATGCAACGAGTCCTAGTGTGTAGTTGGCATCGTTGATGGGAGTGATGTGATAAGCTGGATTGAAGGAAGATAATCAAGTGTTCCAATATCTATTAAGTGATATTAGCTGTTGTAATAATAATAATAATCATCATCATAATAAAGTGGTTGTATTTAGTGAAGCAGTGTGGTGTGTGTGTGGATTAAGAGGCTAAATAAAGTCGTTTTCCAGTAGTTGGCAAAGCCACAATTTCGTTGTGGAGGGGTGGTTGATGCACAGGAGCAGCGGGGTCGCGAGCGGCGGTGGTCCTGGAACCGCCGCCGGACGCGGCCTCGAGCTCGAACATCCACCGGCAATGCCTACCGGTCCGACGGGTTTCCACTGGGGTGCTATGATAGCAGGACACCATGCTGCTGCTGCTGCTGCCGGCATGATGCAGCCACCCTTGTCCACAGGGGCTGATTATAGTCTTGCTGCAGCTCATGGAGCTACTCATCCTGCCATGCCTATGGATTTACATGTGTCTCAAGGATTCCCCTGTTACAGGTTATTGTTTACTTCATTCTATTAATTTCCCTTCAGTCTGTGCTATTCTTCTAAATAATTCTTCAATCAATCATTCAAGTATTCATTTGAAGAATAAAACATTCAAATGACTGGAATAATTGAAATAGCAGATTGTGAATAAAAATTCATAACTTGATGTTATTATGTGATGATAATAATCATAATTAATAGATGAATGTGTATAAATTTCTAGCACATTGTAGAAATTGTTATGAGCAGTGAATAACAAGAGTAGATTTAATTCACGTGTGATAATAATCGATATCTCAGAGTCACAACAAGATGACTTCTGAAAAGAAGCTGTGGACATAAGTTATATACAAGAAACCTATTATAATTCCTAGCTCGTTCAGGTTATTAGCATTCCGCTATCAATTATCCACGAGCCGCGTGCTGCACGTCCCCCGCTTAGGCACGCGAGTGTGGCAGCTGTTCTGTCTCTTTTCTATACAGTTTCGTTCTTTCTCCCTTGACTCTTTCTCTTAGTCTGTCATGTTACTTCACATCAACTTTTCGTGAATCATCGTCAGCCTTCCCATGAATGCTGCATCTTTTTTTTATCTTTCATCAGCAAGACTTGATCATATCAATCTGTCGAATGAATTAATTGTATAATATTATTGTCACGTTTTATGCACACATATCATTATCACTTTTGTCGTGGATTTTTATCTATTTATTGATAACTTTATTACATTATAACATAATGAAGTGATGAATGGTCTTGAGTAAATTCATGTTCTTGCTTGATAATAGATACACAACATATAATTAAATCAATTTAATTTAGTTGAAGAAATTATTTCTTCAAATGAATCTTTTTCATTTAAATGAATATTTTTTTTTCTTTCTCGCTTGATTCTTGCAAATGATATTAATTTATTTATTTATAATTGTGATGTTAAATGAAAAATAAAATAAAAAATCACTACATTCAGGGTGACATGGTGCGCGCGTGAGGCAGCGTGCTAAATGCCACTTGTTGCCGCCCCGAAGGCTTTAAGTACCCTCGTCATTCATTCTCTCGTCGGTCCGACGAGACGCCGATAGCCGCAAGCACCGGAACAGTTCATTTCGCCATTTATTCATTAGAGAGAAGGACTGAAACAAAAAAGATAAACCGAAGAAAAGATTAAAACTAAAAAACTACAAGAGAAATAGAAATTTGAATGTTAAACTCTTAATATATGTACTCACGAGTATCTTGATTGTCACGCAACACATCTATCACTTCAGATTAACTCTAAACATTATATCTATATAAATACACTGTGTTTACTTTTTTAATTACTAATGGCACATTCAATAATACTATGTCTGTGCAAATAATTCGATATTTATACTGCGAAAAAAATAATTGACTAATTTTTCAGAAAAAAAAATAAATAAAAATAAAATCATCATTCCTGGATGGTACATTAATTTTTTTTATTATATCGTATATTTTAATATATGCAAAAATGAAGTACATGTTGCCAGGAGGCATAGCTTTATCGATTGATCCAAAAATCCTTGATGTTATATAGTTAATGTACCATAACAGTGACCACTAAAACATAATTGTTACGATCATATCAACTGGTCTAAATTTCTTTTTTATCATCATTGAATTTTATTTATTCTATTATAAAGTTTCATTAAATCTTGTAATACTTCTCAGTAAAAATTTAAAAGTCTCATTACCAACTTCTTGATAATATACCTTTCCAGATAACGTAACTATATGATAATATTACCAAGAAATTGACGGATAATTATGATAATTAAATGGCAAGACAGTTGAGAAGAGAAAAAATATTCTGATAATAACTGATAAGTGAATTATTTGTACTACACCACTGAATGGCTGGTGGATGAGATTGACAAGGAAGAAAATTCACTGAACACCCGGTATAAGTGCACGAATAGAAGAGAAACCTCAAGAGCGGCGCATTGAGAGCATTATTGAATGATGGCTTATAGCCGACTACTAATGGGGCCGGACGCGCGCGGACGTAAGGGAATGAAAGAAGCGAGCGAAAGAAGGAAAGATGAAGGATGAGAGCGAGATATAAACAGAGAAGAGCGGCAGATCAAGGTCCTCAGGGTGCATCAGTTGGACGCGCGACTGATGCGAGTTAAAAGACACAAGATGCATTCTTCCGTCGTTCTGACTAACCTGAGTCAATAGACTGCACCATCCATTAATAAGTTTGGTTTCAACATTTTATTTTTTAAAAAGCCAACTTTGGTAATAATCTGCACACATACACTGTACATAATTAAACAAGGATATAAAAAAAATGTGGAGGTTGTATTTTTGGAATAATAAATCTAATCATAGTGTTCTTGCTGGATGATTGAAGGATAAGACAAGCAGAGAGATAGCTATAGCTTCTTTAGAAGAAGGATGTTTGTGTTGGTTTGGCCAAGCCGACCGATAAATAACTTGCAGGGGTTTTTATCGCTTGCACCGAAGTAGTCGAGAGTCCTCGGGACTCCCCCGACATAATACCGACACAAAGTAATCTCGCGCGTTCTGTTCACCCTCTTATTCTTCTTCATCGTCATCTTTCTCTTCTTCTTCGTTGACTTTGCCACGTCTTCTTCTTCTTCTTCTTCTTCTTCTTCTTCTCTTATTCCCTCTTTTCAACAAAGTCGACGCATCAACCCACGGTTGATTCTCTTCAAGTCCAAGCCGCGTTTTGGGCCCGGTAGTTGGGTAGCTGACTTTTTTCTCGACTATCGGCGAGTGGATCGCACCGTGATCCGGGACTGCAATCAGAATTGATTATAGCCTGCCGAAACTTGGCTGTGCGGCTGCATCGGGTATTATACAACTTGCCTCCAGCTTCATGATGGTAGCTATATATACATCCTATACGATTTTTGACTTTATTCGATCATCGACCTCTTCAAAGTGAATTGATGAAATATTTCAGGGACAGAAAATTGTAATTACTAGAGAGATGCTTGTAATATTTGACTAAATTTTCGTTGATCTCAAGTGCATCTTCAGTGCAACAAAAAAAAGCTTCTCTTCTCTGATGCTTTAATAGAGCTCAATCAGAGCCTGTTTAAAATTCAATTGAAAAAGCTGCGTTATTATTTTCTAGATTGATTCAATAAGAGGTGTGGCATTCATTCAGATTTTCGGTCATGCTATGAAATTTGTTGGATAGTCGTGAAATCAATATAAACATAGTAATAATGAGAGTAATAAGTATAATCAGCCATGTTGAGGTTATTAAATTTTCGTGTGAACAAAATCGATTGCGATGAGGCCTAACGAATCTATACATTCACGTACAAATAGAATATCATATTATAAAAGGACCTATATTAAATCCGAGCAGCGTCTCAATCGATTTCACGAAGTAGTCGATTCGATTCGATCCCCATGGACTTCTGGGTCTCAAGTTTTTTATCTGTCGATCTGGCACGCGCGATTCAATCTCAAAATCCCTAATATCTTTATATAAAGAGAGACAAAGAAAAGTCACACGAAAAGAGAGATTATTGAAAATTCATAAAAACCTACATTTAATCATTTATTTATTGTTCTAATAGTTATTTTTTGCTTTATAAAAATAATTAAAATAAAATATCAATTTGACTTGATTTATTTTCACTCTTGAGAAGCAACAAAAAAAAATAATCGTGTGTCGGTATATTATTAATTAATAAAAAAAACGTGAACGATGCCTAATCATTTCTCTGATATGTTTTTATGTTCCTTCATGAGACAATGTATTTCAAAAGACTTGGATATTGTTAAACTTTTGTTTATATACATATATATATGAGTATGTGTGTAGAATGGTGTGCGACGGTCATTGAAAATAGGAGAATGACGGTTCGATCTCTCCGATACGGTCGCCAACCACGGAATGTGTTTTTTTAAAAGCTAAATACAAAAAAGTTATAAAGAAAGGAAGAAACGAACTGGTAACAAGCAAATAAAAAGTTTCAAAGTTTAACGTTAGTGTGTCGTATTTTTCTCATGTATATTATTTTATAGCATTACCTGTATTTGTTGAGCAACTTTTTAATAGAAAAAAATTTTTTTCTTCTCTTCATACAAAAATAGTTTTAATCTCGAGATAAATAAATTTTCATAGTAATAAACTGGTTTTTTTTAAGTTAAGGAGCAAGTTTGAATTATGGTGATAAAAAAAATAAATATGGTGTTAAAAGGAATTATTAAAAGATCATTGTACAAAGTTAATATCAGAAAACTATGTGTATAATACCCTTCGAATGGATATTAATAGTCCACGAGGTTGTCTCAGTGAAATACTGCCACCCAGGGAAAAATCCATTTTAAAGACTGTAGTCTCAAGTGTCGTGATTCTTTATTAAGATGGAAGAGTGTACAAGTAACACAAGTCGGTAGAATGAGAGAAAGAAACAGCCAAGTTTCATTTCTTCGTGGAACAAATGGCTCGCGAGTTATCACCCCGCGAGTACTCGGCGACCCTCCCCATTTAAAAAATGTAAATTCGTTAATGCGAACAGTCGTAGAGTCAAGGGTGCAAAGAAAAAGATGCCGAAGAGGATTGAACCCAAAGACCAGGGGAAATAAGAGTAGAAAAAAAAATCCAGGGGAGGGTAAAACGGAAGGCGTGAAAATTTGTACGTTGCTCTTATACAACCCTCCGATGTTACACCATTACCTGGGACTATTATCCAATACAAAAAAAAATCAAATCAAGTATGCTAACTTACGCTATAAAGCCTTTAGGGATCGAGTTGGATACAGAGGATAGATCGAGGGTTGTCGAACTGTCTTTTCTCCAACTTTTGTCTTATGTTCTTTCAAATGTTATTACACACTAGGATCAAAAATTATTCTCGTAGAATAAAACATCATGTTAAAGACAATAATGCACTGGAAAGAAATAGTTTGTATGTGACTAGAAAATTTTAGTGTCCAAGAATGATTTTTCAGAGCAAAGATATTGATAGGGGTACAATGTTCTATAAGTGATCAACACCAT